CAACTCATAGTGACCCTATAGGACAGAGTAGAACTGCCCCATAGGGTTTCCAAGGCTATAAATCTTTATGGAAGCAGACTGCCACATCTTTCTCCCGCGGAGCGGTTGGTTGGTTTGAACCCCGAAACTTTTGGTTCGCGGCTGAGCGCTTTAACCACTGCACCACCAGACCTCCTTATATTATAACAAACAGGTTTTTATTTTACTGAGTAACGTTTTTTCAGAACTTTCTTGTATTTTCAGCTATGGTTAGCAAACTGGCTTTTGAAGTCAGACTGCTTTGGCTTCACTTTTGGCTTTGCTATTTCTTGCTATGCATAATTTAAGGCAAACTTGTTTAATCTGGTCAAGCCTTTCTTCTTTTATAACATCTTCATTTCTATCACTATCCCTATCTCTTATCCATATATTAGTGCCAGAGGACAATGTGGCAAGAACTCATGATACTTTGAGCATTGTAGGTTCCGAATACTGGCAATGTAACGGCCAAAAGACTGTAGATCACTCGTTAGTTCTTCAGTCAGAGGAGAAGCAACATAGCATACAAAAGATTTGGTAATTGTCTTTACATGCACTTATAGAAGATGTTCTAAAACGATGGAATAGAAGCTCTTAAGTGTTAAAAAGAGAGCTTGAACAAAGAACGTCTTGATACTGTACTTTCTAGACAATAATGCTAACATAGCAGGACTTACTACGACTAATTCTTACACTCACAAAAAGTAGTTGGTTACTTAGACTTGCTGATAAAGTAACCTACTTCTTTTCCTGAAGAATCCAATTATATCTTACTTGGAAACTACTCTGAATATCCTCTTATCTTTCTCCACAGAAGCTGCTGAAAATAGGTCTGCACATAATAAAAGAGTAACAAATGTAAATTCAGAAATTATTTTCTTATCTTGAAATCCATTACATTGTTCTGTTATGACAATTCTACAGCAAAGATTTAAGCACAAATTTTTATCAAGTGATTATGTGAGGCATACCAAAACCAAACCCTTTGCCGCTGAGTCAATTCCTACTCATAGCAACCCTATAGGACAGAGTAGAACCGCCTCATAGGGTTTCCAAGGAATGGCTGGTGGATTTGAACTGCCGTCCTTTTGGTTAGCAGATGTAGTTCTTAACCACTGCACCACCAGGGCTCCCATGTGAGGGATAAGTGCATTCAAAATGTTAGAAATTATCTATCGATCTATCTATCCATCTATCAATTTATCTATCAATCTATATATTATCTATCACCTATCTCTTTACTTATCTGTGTGTATACTTTGCATCTGAATATATACAGTCTTGTTTAAGCAATACACAAAACTTCAATTTGTATAATTGCATCAATGAGAATGTGTCACCCCAACTGACCAAGTCTTTAAGACAAGCAGTTGTTGAGTAACAAACACACAACTGTGCTCTGTCTGAAGAAAAGCTTAATAAGTTAGCAGCAGCCCCGGTGGTGCACAGGGTTAAGTGTCTGGCTGTTAACCAAAAGGTTGGCTATTTGAAACTACCCAGTGGCTCCACTGGAGAAAGACTCGGGGAACTACTTCCTTAAGGATTAAAGTCAAAAAAACCCTGCGGGCAGTTCTGCTCTGTCACATCGGTTCCTGGGTTGCTATGAGTCAAAAGCTATTAGTCGAAATATACTTGACAGCACCTCCTTCCCCCCAAAAAATTACTGGTAGAGCTAGCTAAAAAATGTCTTGTTACTGCACCAAACTCAGTTGAAAGTGAGGGTCTGTTTAGTATTGCAAATGTACCACACGGTGATCTTGGGAGCAATCTGGCAACTGAGAAAACTGAAAAATTGTCACTTTCATACTACGCCAAACTTTTAAAAAATGGTTAAAATTTCTAGAACTGTAATAAAATACGTTTTTAATAATTTTTAGATTTTTTTCTTGAATCCTAGATGTCTTATTTTAGTGGTGATATTTGACTTCAGTCTTTGCTTCTAACGAAAATTGTTTTTAACATTAGGTACATAGCCAAAAGTCATATTTAGTGCATTTTTAATATTATACAGAAAACTTTTGCAGCATTGTGAAGCCAAGAGAAGTACAAAAGAAATGTAAATTTTGTGTGGTGTGAAAGGATTCAAATTTTCTGAATTCACAATAAATAATCCTCAGCTCAGGCCATTATGACTCCAAATTTTGTAATTTATATCTGTTAACTGAATGAACAATTATTGAACAATTTATACTAGCTCAGCCACTAACTGCGTTAAATACATTGGGGCATTTAAAAGAAATAACAAACACTATTTCTTATATATATCCTGAAGTACTTTAGAAAAGTGAATTTTCTTTCTACTCATCTGGAAAAAAAAAATTGTCCTACAGTTTTGAGAAACTTTGTTTTATAAGAGAAATAGGAAAATGGGGAAAAAATTAAAATGTGGTACGTATGTAAAAATTACATAATCTACTTTCATCTCACATATTCAGATATTGAAGAAATAACAGTTTAATGTCCGAAGTTATAGCTTTTTCATCACTATTAAATTACATGTTTTGAAAGGTACGTATAAATTAGAAAGCTATTAAGTTACATGTGCTGCAAAACATTTATTAATTCATATAATGTTCACAGCTTAGAAAGGGGACTCTAATGAATTTGCTGAAATTCTTTTCAGTCAAGCTGCATCATCAGTGGTGAGGACTAAAGTGATCAGCTTCCTTTTGGAAATAATTTCCAATAAAATATAACAGATTAGATATAAATAACTCCATTGAATCCATAGCCTGACTCCATTGAAAAAAAAAAAACAAAAAAATAAAAACAAAAAACCAAGATGGAAGGTGATCCAGTAATAATTCACATAATTTAAGTTAAAAAAAACGCAAGTACAAATCTACAAAATAATTAAACACACTGCTCTCTGTAAAAATTCACTTTCCTCATTATTTGTCTTTTGTAAGTTGAGCCATTATCTAAATATGAGAACTATCCTGGGAACCAAAAGGAAAGACTTGCAAAAACTTTGACATTTAAACAAGGAGAAATAGAAGTTCTACCCCTGAGAAGCCTTCACTTTTCACTGAAGAAAATGAGAAAGACTCATAAACAAGCACCCAGTAAAGGGCTAGATAATAATTATTTTATATAATCTGTGTTACAACCACTCAACTCTGCCCTTGTAGTGCGAAAGTGTTGATCTGCCAACACGTAAATGAATGAGCGTTGCTGTGTTCCAGTAAAACATTATATATGGGTACTGAAACTTAAATTTCATATAATTTTCATGTGTCATGAAATATCATTCTCTTTTGATTTGGTTTTTAAACATTTAAAAGTTACATCTATTTTTAATTTACAGGCCTTAAGAAAACAGGCAGCAGGCTGGATTTGCCCTGGCCTAGATCCTGGGTGCTGGGTGGTGCAATGGGGTCTGAAAACCCAGAAGACTAGTTAGTGGCGGGGAGAAGACAAGGTTGGGAAGTTGAAGTTTTGGTATTGGAACAGATATAACCTACTCATTTTTGTGGATGCCGTAAATTACGCCACCAATAAGGCTACATCTATTCCAACACATTCTAAAAGCAATCTGCTTTAGTTTTGCATTTAATTTGCAATATGATTTTTCTCCAGGGTTAGTGTATTACAAAAGGAGCCTTGGTGGTGCAATGGTTAAAGCACTCAGCTGCTAACCAAAAGGTCACTGGTTGGAACCTACCCGTGGCTCTAAGGGAGAAAAGATCTGGCGATCTGCTCCCAAAAAGATTTACAGCCTAGGAAACCCTGTAGGGCAGTTCTACTCTATCACTCGGGGTTGCTATGAGTTGGAGTCGACTTGATAGCACACAACAACAACGATGTATTACAAATGAGCTTTTTTCAAGTAGAATCTACTAAGAGATCAATGTACTACTTTTTCTAGAAAATACTGAAATACTTCAATTTTAATTGTATAGAAAATTATGGTTGAAAAGTATATATGAGTAGCCCAATGTGTTATCTATTTCGAACATGATATATAGGTTCTTTAAATATGTTTATATCTCTTCCGATTAAAAATAAATTAAACTGACTATATTCATCTCAGTTACCAATAAAGTTTGTGATTTGGTCATTATATGATTAAAACATGGATGTATTGGTCTTAAACTTGATTCAGGCCTAGCTAAGTTATTCTTTCAGCAGTTTTTCGATTAAATATGGATTACACTGATTTAATAGCCTTGATAGCGATCAACATTTGTTTTTAGAATTAACCGAAACAATCCAATCTTTCCTGAACAGCCTATTTTTTATGTAGGCATAAACAGTTCAAGTGTTTCAGGGACAGTGACTCAGAATTGGGTAATTATTTAGTTTTTTCCTGTTAAATGTTAAGAAGACCTTTCTCATGAAGCTGTTAACTTTGCGGGGGGGGGGGGGGCGGGGGAGAATAACTTACATCCTTGGAATAGGAAATAGATTAGTCTCCCCCGCAGTGCTGCTGCTTCCTTCACTATCCACGCTATATCCACTGCCAAAGCTGCTGCCCGAGGAGCCGGTGGACACGGAGCTTTCTGCTGGCCGGTGATTGGTAGGCTTTGCTGCATGATGTAGGAAGAGTCAACACCACAGTCAATAAATAAAGCCTGCATAGATCCCTTCGTGCATAATGATACGTTTTCTTAATCTACATGTATAAGAAACATAGCTATCACAAGAACTCTGCACTTCTTAACCCGCCTTTCGTTTTCATTTCCTTAACCAATAGTGTACAGTAATAACATTACATTACTTTATTATTTTTATTGGACATAAAGGAAAAACAATCAATTCTATGGAAAAACCATTTAGTTTTTAGACTGGGTTAAATAGTATGTAACTATTCTATTATTATTATTAAAATAGTGTGGTTTATTTGTACAGTGATATGGCAAACAAGTATTTTGACTGTTTCATAGAGAAATGAGTTTAGAAAGATGGTAGATAGAAATAGTAGGATAAGAGGAAAACTATTAAATTATTTTCCATATTAATAATCAATAATCTGTTTTTCTCCTGAGAACTGAAGATGCAAAATGGAATAGGTAATTATAATAGGTGATTGAAAATTCTGTGCTTTTTTGTATGTAGCTCTACAAACTATCTCTAGCAGCTTTTTAAAATTTGGAGATATTTGTTTCCCTTTTGGGCTTTTTCTAGTTGATGATTAGGACTTGTTCAAAAATTTTCATGAATTTGATTTGGATATTAGAATGCATATCCCCATAGATACATTATCAATTTAGATACATGCTGTAAATTCTCCAATAGGGGCATAGTACTAACATTGGTAACAGGTCTAGATTATAGGAGATTTAGGAAGAACTTTAGATGTAAAAAGAAGAGAAAGAAGGCAAAAATGTTTCCTCTTATTTTGTGGAGGAGAAGCCTCCTTTAGGCAAACTTTTGAAATTGTTATTATTTGTCTTCAGCCACATGGTAAGAGCGTAAGAGCATGAACTCAGGTCATACTGATCTGATTTTAATTTCAACTCGTCCTATAGTAACTCTAAGAAGTCTCAGGTTTCTCGTTTAAAAACAAATGGCATCAATAATGTCTACCTCATAGGACTGTGATTATGAGGAGGAAGGAAGGTAAAGCAGAGGCTCATTGACTTGTTCTTCTTTCTCTTGTGATTTTATTTGCTACATCTCCCACTTCTTCTTCAGGGCTATCCTGTCAATGGCAGTGACCTAGTGCCTTGAGTTTACCTAGGCCCTGCCCATGAATTCTAAATTTAGACATAGTCTAGGCTACAGAACTACTTTTTCTTCCATAAATATACCCCCATTCCATTAGAAGTTTCTTAGTTTTATACAAGCGAGTGAATTGTTGATAATCTGTTACTGATCCTAAAGCATCTACATTTTTCTTAAGAAGATTATGAAAACACAATGACTCCGAACATGGTGGGATTTCAACCACTCTAACAGAATGAAGTGAAAAATGTAGACAAATTGTGAGGAAAACATTCTGAGGGCAGGAAAGCCACCATAAGGTTAGCCATGCCTGCCTCCCTCATCTTCAGGATAAAATCTTCCTAAAGATTTAGCTTTGTCCAACTTCTTTCCTTCTTCCACCATAGCATTAACATATTCTCAAAACTACCGGGGATTTTTACAATATCTATTCCAGTGACAATAGTATCCTTTTCCCAGAATAAGGAATTAAGGAAGAAATTTTTAATAATTAGACAATTATATATCAGGTGTTTACAAATTGAGGCCAGATATGTAGAAAAAGACCCGAATCATGCTAAATGAATTATCAGTAACCCATGGGACTAGACTTGTGGAAACAACGATAGTTATAGTGTTTGTTTAGTAGTCTCTTCAACTTATGTAGACGAAACACAGACAAGCATAGTGCATTTACTGTTAAAGAAAAGACAACACTTTTTAGAAGGATAATTTGTAAAAATTTAAAGGTAATAAAGGAAATCAAGCTGTATAATCAACCACATAATGAATCAGATTACTCAATCATAAATAAAGAAAAGCTGTCATACTTTTTGATATACATTATATAATCAAACTAGGTTAATATTTTTTAGTATGAAATTGAAAAAAATTTGATTTTATCAACTGGAAAAATCTTGGTATACTATTTTCAAAGACAATCCTTAATTAATTGACATTAATATTTATCAATTTCTCCTAACTAAATTAAAACAATTTTCATCCCATAGAAATCTCACAATGCATCAGAATAACTACATTATATAAATAATATCTTACTATTTGCATTCCAAAATGTTCAGTCTTTTCCTTTGTCAACTTTGGTTTTACCTGATGCAATTTCTAGTTGCATTACTCTTCAGAGCAATTTCAGAAATGTGTACAGAATGTAACACAGCATAACAAGAAGAAAGAAAAGAGGCTAGAAATAAATTTAGAGAAAGACAGTTTTTTTCATTTTGTCTATCTCCCTTGAATAGAAATCTCTTTGGAAAGCTTGTGGAAGTATAGTTAATATTTTAAATGCAAGCAAATAATATTTTATAAGAAATTTAAAAAAGAAAACCAAATCAAAGAAACATATACATATATTGGAACAAGTCTAAATCTATCTAAAATCTTTGCAGTACAAATTTACATCTAAGGTTGAGTCTCCAGAAATTTCAGGCATTTAGAAGTTAGGTGAAGAATTTAAATGAATCTAGATGTTTGGTGTTATCTTAACAAAGCATCTAGATGCCCAATTAATTTATATTCTTAACCTGATACATAAATGTAGTGTAGCAACAAAGGGACTGACATTTGGTTAGTGTCTGAAAGTGAAATAAAATGCAGAATGGACATTCTCTTTTTAACAGGCTATGTCTACATAGCATAAGATGCACTAAAACCTGCAGAAATGCAGAGATTTTGATAAGCTGGTACTAATAATACAAGTATTTTAATAGTTATTTTTCAGAAACCACATTTATGTTTACTAATATCTTTGAATTGAGACTGCCCCCAACTGAGTAAACATCAGTTGTATTATATTGAGCTAAATACAACTTATTAACAAATAAACTTATTAACATTCACATAAATTTATTAACATTAACACAAACTTATTAACAAAGTGCTTTTAGGACTTTACTCAGTATCTGAGGCTGGATCTTATATAAATTTCAAGATTTCAGCCTAATTCTTTAGTCTGTCTTTATCCTTTGCTACTTTCCAAATTTATCACCCATAATTCTCCTTCAGATACTTCATGTCAAAGTCCATTCAGACCATTCACTCTGGCTACCTTTGGTTCCCTTGTGTTTTATGTCTTCTGCATTTTAGTTGAGGCGGTTCTTTCCAACTTTATTATGCCCTCTTCTGTCTCGGTCACTTTCTCATACCTAAATTTATGTTATTCTTAAAGGCTACCCCAAATATCCTGTGTTTCCTATATTCCTCTGTTTCTCTCAATCAGGAGTGAAATCTCCTAACTCTGGACCTTGATGGCACATGTTTGGTTTATCCTGTGTGGCGATTATCACGTTCTGCCTTTGATAGTACTTGTTACATATGTGTCGTTATTGAAAGCAGAGCCTGCATTTGCCCTTTGGTAGCCTCCTTTAAAACTTGTCCTAAGTCATACTCAAGCAATATTTAATGAATAAATAGTAATGATATATTAATACTTCTTTCAGTTACCTAGCTAAACTATCTGAATGATTTAGTAGGTATGTAACTTTTTATCCAGCTGCAGGCATATGATACAAATCATAAATCTCTTATCAAAAAGGCCACTTGATATGGGATGTTTTTTCATGTTCTTTGTCAAATAAACTGGGGGATCCAATTTTTTTGTGTGGCTTTTAAAATCATAATTAACATTTTTAATCTGTCATACTATGTAGAAACATGGTTACTCAACAGATACGTTATCCCAATCCCACAAAATCTGATTTTACTGAAAGAAATATTTAATAACAGTACACTAAATGCTGGAGAGCACAGTTTCATGAATTTCAAAAAAATTCTTAACAGACATGAGTATTATATATTTTTAAAATTTGGAGTCACGGAAGAAAATAATGTGTATAGTAACATTGTAGGGGAACCACCAGAGGGTGCTATTATAGACACAAATACTTGTGCTGATTCTACCTCTTAGCATACAGACAGCTTGTGAGCTCTGATTTATATTTAAGTGTAATTTCCGTCTTTCTATGTTCTTGAAGGAAATAATATTTTTAAACTATACACAATTTTTCATAATTTTATGATTTCAAAATGAACAATTTAAAAATATTCTACATTTGCTAAAGCAAATCCAATTCTTTCAGAGCTTCAGGAACCATGGACCTATTTATGTATGCATGTATTATGTACCTGCATATTATATATGAAAAATGTTTATTTTAATGAACAATTGAGGTTTTCATTAAAAGCACATTTTTCGGAGCCCTTTCTTATGAGTTACATCTTTTTATAGTGTGCTTTCTCTTTGAATTCCTAATTTTGCTACCTAGTACCTGCTAAATGAAAGAGTGGGTCACGTAAACATATGATGGAATAAGACCACTCCTATCAAAAGGGTCCCCGTGCCTTAGAGGAATAAATCCTACAGTACTGAATTGTTTTTCTAACTCAGTTATTGAGAGGGCATTTCAGGTAAACATATTTTATCTTCTGTGTGGCAGTTCAATCTGTTTTAAATTATTCTTTGACCTCTTCAATTTCTTTGGCTTCTAGGTGGTTAGACATCATTTAGTCTTATTACTCCACTGTGGCTAACCTTAATTAAATCTGATAGTGTCTCTTTGACTGTACATCTGTCGATTACCTTGCTCTGCTGGTTTTTTCCCACTACTATTCTTAAATATGCAAAACTATAGCTGTGCCTACCACACGATGGCAGCACTCTGCTAAGAGCCCACATGGATCAGAATTGAACCTGGACTATAATTGTGAAATCATGGAAATTTAAAGCTGGTCGGAATTCAAGAGATAATCTTTTCCAGTATCATCATTTGACCTATAAAGAAGCTAGAAACTAAGCCCTGGAGAGATTAAATGATTTGTTCAAGGTCACACACTAATTAATCAGAGAGAGAATTGAAACTAAAAAGTA